TCGGAGTAGTGTCAGCGTCGACACACCAACTCGACCAGTGGTGACGTGTTTTCTGACAAATATCATGGTAAAGACTGACTGGTGGAGAGGTGTCAGATGCATCGTGTGTGTGTGTGTGTGTGTGCATGAAATTATGCATGAGTGAATGATGTTTTCGGCAGCCGGTGCTGGACTGAGACGACGATTGCTCGGGTGTGATCGGACGACACCAGCGACGTCTGCGATGTGTTGGTCGTGGAGTGTTGAGTGTGTGTGAGGAGAATGTTGTGGTTGTGGAGTGGAGGGAGAGAAGTAATTTGCAGTGGTTGACGTTGGTGGAGCACACTGTGGGCTGACAGGTGACCAGGATGGTGGGACTAAAAGCCGACCCCGACGGGACTCGAACCCGCAATCTTCTGATCCGAAGTCAGATGCCTTATCCATTAGGCCACGGAGCCCACGACTTGCCACCCATCGTCTCATCTCACACCAACCATCCACATCAACTCACCTCACACACACAAACGTACAAACACACACACACACATTCATGCACAATCGCTCATCAGTCACCACTCACTATCTCAACCAAACACTCAATACTGCTCAACAACACCCTAACAAACTTACTTTCGTCACATCCAACTACACGCATATGCAAACATCCATGTATATTCACCTCCAAATAAATAAATATATATATATATATATATCTGTATATATTTATATAATTGTTAGTGGAAACTTCATCGTTCAGCTTCGGTCAATCGTGTCTTGTGTGTGGTGAGCCAAACACCACTGAGATCGGTCGAATGCATAGCTCGTGACTCATGCTGACACGAAATATCCACTGGAGATGAAGTCGATGCGGCGAGACTATAATTTATGGACGAACCAATCCGATTTAAGACTTCAGGTCTTGGATTTCAGCACGAAATTCATTCATCCACATGTCTAAACTGCATTATACCACACGAACTGATGTCAGTTCGTGATGAAAACACTGATTGTAATTCCCAACCCTACTGCCCAAATGTAAATCCTAATCCTAATTCTTCACACTAATCTACAAACCCCATTTAACCCTAGTAAGTAGGTGGACATTCTCAAGGTCACTTGAGCATCGTTTAAGGGTCGTCCATGCATCACAGTGCTACTATCGATCGGAGTAGTGTCAGCGTCGACACACCAACTCGACCAGTGGTGACGTGTTTTCTGACAAATATCATGGTAAAGACTGACTGGTGGAGAGGTGTCAGATGCATCGTGTGTGTGTGTGTGTGTGTGCATGAAATTATGCATGAGTGAATGATGTTTTCGGCAGCTGGTGCTGGACTGAGACGACGATTGCTCGGGTGTGATCGGACGACACCAGCGACATCTGCGATGTGTTGGTCGTGGAGTGTTGAGTGTGTGTGAGGAGAATGTTGTGGTTGTGGAGTGGAGGGAGAGAAGTAATTTGCAGTGGTTGACGTTGGTGGAGCACACTGTGGGCTGACAGGTGACCAGGATGGTGGGACTAAAGCCGACCCCGACGGGACTCGAACCCGCAATCTTCTGATCCGAAGTCAGATGCCTTATCCATTAGGCCACGGAGCCCACGACTTGCCACCCATCGTCTCATCTCACACCAACCATCCACATCAACTCACCTCACACACACAAACGTACAAACACACACACACACATTCATGCACAATCGCTCATCAGTCACCACTCACTATCTCAACCAAACACTCAATACTGCTCAACAACACCCTAACAAACTTACTTTCGTCACATCCAACTACACGCATATGCAAACATCCATGTATATTCACCTCCAAATAAATAAATATATATATATATATATATATATATATATATATATATATATATATATATATATATATATATATATATATATATATATATATATATATATATATATATATATATATATATATATAAGTTATTTATTTATTTATTAGGTAATTGTTTGGAGCTTCTGTATTTCAATCGGCATGTTATGATCTAAATTAATTTATAATAAACTTTAAACCGTTGATTTTATATGTCTTAGTATGAAATTATGAATTGCATAGTTTAATATTTTTTTATTTAATCGATTGTAGACTGTATAATCCTTTGGATATGAATCATTTTTTTTGTAAAAATACTCATCTAATACTTCATTATGATCGTACTAAAAGTATAGGTTTTTATGTTTGGGTAACTGACGGCACTAACCAATACAAACTTTAAGTCCGTCTTGTTGTCACGTAATTTATTCGTCAATCCAAATACAACTTACTTTTGTACTGTACTAAACCAATGACGTTCGACCGGTCTGATCAGCCTAGCGTGCTTATTGGTCCTGCTTCCCGCCTTGCCCAGCCAGTTGAGTTCAGAACATCAATAACAGCTTCAACAATGCGAATCATTTATTTCTGACATACTTGGTTTATATACCAGCCAAACAGACTGTATTACACCATAAAATAAGAAATAACATTTATACAAAATAAAGTTAAAAGTGGCTATGAACGTGAGAGACTATAATCAATAAACTGAAAAGTAAATCGTACAATAATAATCTATAAATCAAAATGAAGCTTATAGTAAGATGATTATAGATATATATAAACTAATTATTGAATAGTTATACCATAAGAATATATAGAAAATATTAGTCCATTAATAATTCTCAGAAGTTACTCGTAATTTAATCTTCGCTGGGATATAACAATAAGATTTATAATGAACCATGCTTAACATAATATATATTACTTAACCGTGATAATATCATTGTCAATATGGTTAGTTGTAAAAGTCCGCTTTTAGTCATTATCTTTCACGACTAAATAATACTTCCTTCCTCTCTCTCTCTCTCTCTCTCTCTCTATATATATATATATATATATATATATATATATATATATATATATAGAGAGAGAGAGAGAGAGAGGGAGGGAAAGTTAGATAGATAGATAGATATGATCAAATTATGTTATATATAAATGTTTACATTCATTAAATCATGTAAACTAATTACATAATAGTTAACTCCTAATATCTAACCTACTTCTATTTTATTATGTGTAATCTCTATTGTCTGTTATTAAAAAAATTTTTTTTGTTATTTAATATTTAAATTAACAAATTGTTGTTTCGTACCTTTTTTTCCTTCTGTATGAAAATGAAACTGATTTATTTATTTTGTCATTAATATAAAATAGGAATTTACCTTGATCCTATGGATAACTTAATAATGTTTTTTTTTCACTTCTCTCTCTTTCTCTCTCTACATATAGTTTAACCTGAAATAGAAAATGAGGCGATTAGTATTATTCTCTGTGTTGTGTATATTTTATTATGGATTATTAAGATTGAATATTATTGCTTTTCTGTATCTTAATATATTCTTTTTTTCCTTTTTCTTTAAACTCTTTCTTGCATTTATTACATCATTGAGTTTTATTTCAACTATCCTTCCAAACCAATAATCTTGTTTTATCAACTGAACTCTATTCATTTTATTCCAATCAGCGTTTGCTCATTATGTAATCACTTGTTTCTCGTTGTTTGAACTGTTGTCACGACCAATGTTGTAGAATGTTCTTTTACATAAGGTATATGAGATGGTATATGAAGATTTGTAGCTCAGGTGAATGATTTTGGTGGAGTTTTGTTCTCTGAGCTCAGAGAACAAAACTCCACCATAAGGCATATATTTACAATATTCAGTTTATTAAATTTATTTACACCCTTGCTATACTATACGAATATGTCTTCAATATAACCTCTAACTAAACCCTCTCATGTAAGTAATTTAAACCCATTATGTAATTATGATTTCAAAGATTACAGGTTGTAAGCAGCTGATGAGAACCAACGAGATAAAATGAATTCATGCTATTCTGCAATAATCTTTGTTCTTGTTCTTTTCAAAATGATAAAGGGAACTATGTGTATGAATATGTTCCGTTGAAAATAAGGAATAAAACTTGACAAAGTTATACTAATTTTGAATCATCTATGTAATTTATCTACAGATCAATAACTTTGAACTGAAATATGTCAACGATTTTTTGGTTGATATTAACTGATGATGAAAATCATCTTGAACAATAATTATATGATTAATGGAAACTGATGAATTGCTGAAGTTCTTAGTAAGAAGTCATGATTAGTGTTATTTAAACATTTGGAAAATGAAATAAATATCTACATATAAGATTGAGTAATGTTTCGCTCTATGAAATGAATGAAATCATTTATGTAATACATTGGAGTAAAACGCATAGATCTGAATACTATTGATTAAACACCAGTAATGGTCATGGATGTACTCCACTGAGATGTCCCATACTAAGGTGAAATAGCTGTTTAGTGATTCATGGTTTTCACTGGTCCCTCGTTTTGATGATAATCATTAACGAAAAGCAACTTGAGCTTAAATCTGTACAATCTTCTCAAATGAAGATTCGAATATTATCTGGAAGGATCTAATCAGCTAGATTTCTACGTCTTTTACTAGAGTTTATGTTTCTACAGAGACTTTAATCAAGTAATTGTAGATGTGTTAAGTTCAAAGACAGGTTTCCTTACAAAATAATATAAATTAGAAAGTGCTATATGATAGTATATTATATTTCTACTGAAGTTTAAATTAAGTGAAGACATTTTATTTAGTTTTACGCAACAACAAAATGAGTTATGAAAACTAAGTGGGTATCAGTTGTTAGTGTTGAAAAATTTACATCATTGAGTCAATAGATCAAAAGGATTATATGATTCTATTCGGAGTCGAAATGTAAACTCTCAAATTCTGAATACAAAGTTAGCTTCATAATGAAAAAGAGAGCTTTCTTATTATATACTCTATTACTGAATCAATTCAATAGGAAGGAAAGCTGTTTGGGAATTAATGATGTAGTCAAGAAACTATTGACATTAACGGCATATATATCATATTTATAAATGAGATATCATAATTTGACGAATGCTTTTTCAATTAGTTATTTTGTTTTCTTTCCTAGCTCAACCTAGTGTCTGCCATTCAAGAAACATGCGATTGGGAATCGTGAATGGAGATTTCACTGGATTGCTATGTAAGTTTTTCATCGGATTTTTTTCTGAGAATTCAGATCAAATGTATGGCTTCATCACAAGTATTTAAAAAACGTAGCAAGTTTAACACTTTTTCTCTTAGCTTTTTTTTCTCAGCTACTATAACTAAAATAATCCTCTGCTTTTTAGAGACTTCGTGTTAATGACAATCGAAAAAAAGCCATGGGTCTGAATTTTGTGCTACTTAGCACTTGTCAGTAAGATGTATGTGCAACTTTGAGGGAACTGATTTATTCAATGTTCGAACCGCAACCACTGAGCTATTTGGACTTTAACTGACTGCATGTATGTGTGAAACATGAACACTGACTGATCACTGAGAATCTGTAACTGAAGAAGCTTAAACACATCTGTAGTTCCTCATTAATAAATTTCGTGCTGTGTAATGAATTTGAACCACTGGTCTGAAAGTTACGCTCATGTTGTTGAACTTGAAAGTTTCTGATTAGATACCAGATCTGTGTACTGTCTATGAAAAATTAGCTATTTAGTGCTCTCTTCTTCTTACCAGTTCACTAACTAACATTAGTTTGTAAAGAAAGTCATCTGTAAACTAAACTAACTCCCACAAACCTCTTGATCTGGAAAAAATTGCTTAAGTAGATAACAATGAATTCATTTCAGAAATTATCTAACAATTAAAGAAAATTTCACAGATTGAAATCATGAGTTAGTTGAAGCTAGACCACCATTAAAAACCTGGAAGCACTGGACGGCCGTTTCGTCCTAGTATGGGACTCCTCAGCAGTGTGCATCCACGATCCCGCACCACGCGGGGTGCGAACCCAGGACCTACTGGCTTCACGCACGAGCACTTAACCACTAAAGAAAACACGAATGATTACTTTGAATATATACATGGGGATATTTCTAAATTGAATGAAACACGCATTTTATCATATAGTATTAACGATTATTTATTGATTGAAGATGACAAATTGGAGAAAATGTTTCCCCATCGTACTCATAATCCAAACAAATAATACCATTCTTTTAACTGTTACCTTTTTTAACAATAGGTGTTATATTGACTATTTTCTTTGTTTCTTTCTCTAAAAAAAAATACAGCTGATCCATATGTTAATCGATTTCAAACATTTTGGTTCACAAATAATTCTGGTCTTATCCCATCACTAAAACAAAATTCATCATTTTTATCAAAATCAGATCCAAATAATTATGATCCAAGTATACAAAAGAATATTTTATCGAATGACAAGCAAGGTTTATGCTCAGCTGCTTCAACCTCATCATCATCTTTGTCTATTGTAAATGGTTACTTTAAAAACTTATTAAAGATTCTACTTGTTATAGATTTTATTATTCCAATCATAATATTTTACATTTGTTTAAATTAAATGGAATTGTACATTTATTCCATTTTTTTTAGTTTTTTGATAACTGTAGAGAAGGTATGTCTGTATAATATACATTTAAGTATTCTAGCCTAAAAATCGTATAATTCATAAAACTTTAGTGGATCCCTTCATTTTGAGGTCAGTTTAATCGGACGATGTTATCGGTAGGCTCATTACTTTATTGGCCATATATCTGGTTCAAATTAGATCGTATGAATGATTGTTGTCAAAATATACATCCTAGCTGTCCTCGTATATAATTATCAACTTAACACGCGTTCGTGAACAACGGAATTAAAATGAGTCAAGTACGACAACGTATTTCGAATACGTATATTTTGTACAATTAGATGGTGGTTGGAGGAAGTCGATAGGAAACCCTGGACCCGGGTTTCGTGCTTCTTAGCACTTGTCAGCAAGGTGTACCTGTAATCCTGAGGGAACTAGCGCTTCCTGGTGGCTCCCTGTCGAGGCACCTAGACTGGTGGCGACATTGAAACATGGTCGATAGCATTCGATCTGCACTAAATAAGGGCTTGATACACATGACATTGATCACCACCCAGTGATCAATCAATTGTGATTTTGTACAATCGTTGATCGGAACAGGCAATCAGAGAGTCGTAGAAAAAGAAGTAAAGAAGAGAGAACGAAGCGAAATGACGCACAGTGGAGAAGGCATGTGAGTCAACTCAATTTAACCAAGTCGAAAGAAAAACAAGATACAGACATGCGATGAATAGGATAAGAAATGTACACACATATGCTCATATAAAAAGTCAAGTTTGATTAGGGAATAATTAACAAGGTCAAAATGTGATTTGAGAAGAATGAATAAATTGGATTGTCTAGAAGCTAGCATAAACTGTATGGGCTTGATTTATCAACCAACATTACAAAACTTTGAAATCACAAGACGAGTAGTGTCTGAAACTGAAAATAATCTAAATAACAAAGACTGAAGAAACCATCTATGATTCAATTGAACAGTTCAATAAAAAGTAAAAAGAAGAAAGTATAAACTTGGATGTTAACAACATTATAACATTTACTATTAATAGAGGATATTAAACTGTAGCGTCAAACAAGTAATAACAATTAACGAAAGTGAATGAGCCTTTGGTTAGGCAAGCTGTTCAATACAAATAGTCTCACGAAGTGATACTAAACAGCATAAAAAGATTTTGAAAATATCATCACAATTAAGAAAACGATCTAAAATAAATAAATGACACAACAAGCTCACTGTAATCAGGAATTATAAACTAATCGAAATATATCCGATAAATGTTTGCACATAACATACACTACTGAATATTAATAAGTAAGATAATGTATTACACAAAACATAAGACATGGTCCAATATTTAAACAGCTTGGAGAATCTTTTTTCAATCCACTCTTAGCTATGTCTCACTGATCATTGGATCAGTATGATTTGATACATCTACAGAAGGATGATCATAAATTAATGATACTCTCGAATCGTTTAACTAACATAATCGAACTTCATAATGAATATATTGTATTCATTGACGTTTCGTGACTTTGATGTAAGCCACTTCTTAAAAGTAAATATATTTACTTGAAATAATAGAACTTCATTTATAAGTACGCTGTTTTATACTTACTTACTTACTTACGCCTGTTACTCCCAATGGAGCATAGGCCGCCGACCAGCATTCTCCAACCCACTTTGTCCTGGGCCTCCTTTTCTAATTCCATCCAATTCTTGTTCATCTTTTTCATGTCTATTTCCATTTCTCGGCGTAATGTGTTCTTTGGTCTTCCTTTTTTCCTTTGGCCTTGAGGATTCCATGTGAGGGCTTGTCTTGTGACGCAGTTGGGTGCTTTCCTCAATGTGTGTTCTATCCACTTCCAGCGCTTCTTTCTGATTTCTTCCTCCGCTGGGATCTGGTTTGTTCTCTCCCACAGTACGTTGTTGCTAATAGTGTGCGGCCAACGGATCTGAAGTATTTTGCGTAGACAACTGTTAATAAACACCTGTATCTTCTGGATGATGGCTTTCGTAGTTCTCCAGGTTTCCGCCCTGCTGTTTTATCCGTATTGATAAATTTTTAGTGGCCCATGGATCTGACTCCTATTTAGATCGTATAAATGTTTGCTATCGCCTATTCTCGTATATAATCGTCGACTTAAATCACGTTATCCAATAACGGAATTAAATAAGTCAAATAACGAGAATGGGATGTTGAATACATATATTTTGTATATGAGGTGAATGAAATAGAAGGAAGAGAAGCGACGCAGAGTGGAGGTGGCTGGTAAGCCAACTCATTTTTAGTCAGGCGTTAATCAATGTTTATAGTCAGACAAAATAAAGCTACAGACATACAATGAGACATGGGATATATGATGTGCACACAAATATACGCTCATATAAAAACAATCAAGACTGACAAGCGAATAATTGACAAGGTCAACATATAACTCAAGTAGAATGAATAGATTGGTTTGTCCGAAAACTAGAATAAGGTATGTAGGCTTAAAAATAATGACTAACACTACAAATTCATACTTAATGTATAAAAACCAAAATTCTTTGAAGGTTTAACATCTACACATTCATGAGTTTTACGTAATGCCATAAACAATGAAAATAACTTCGTACGTCAGTGATATACATAGATATAATTAAACACATATCCAAAGTTAAGAATAGAAAATTAACGAATTTGAAAATGATTTTGATTATAGAGATTCTCTCTAATGTACACTTATGATCTGTTGCTCTATTATTTTCACGAATTCCCGTTCACTAAACGAACACAAAATCATTTATCTTCTGTTCCTGTTTCTTAATGAGTTTGATCAATAAATGGTTAACAAATCCGAAAATTCACTATTGTTTTTACTTTGTGCACGGTGTAGTCGATTAGACTACATGATCTTTGGAATAATTAAAAAAAAAAAGAAAATTGCTTAAGTTACATAAAAATGGAAAGATTATTAGTTAGTAAACACCTTTGTGTAAACAGAATCTATTAGGAAATAGCCTCAAATGAATTTGAAATTGTGATGTGAAAAAAAATCCAAGTAGAATGAATAGATTGGTTTGTCCGAAAACTAGAATAAGGTATGTAGGCTTAAAAATAATGACTAACACTACAAATTCATACTTAATGTATAAAAACCAAAATTCTTTGAAGGTTTAACATCTACACATTCATGAGTTTTACGTAATGCCATAAACAATGAAAATAACTTCGTACGTCAGTGATATACATAGATATAATTAAACACATATCCAAAGTTAAGAATAGAAAATTAACGAATTTGAAAATGATTTTGATTATAGAGATTCTCTCTAATGTACACTTATGATCTGTTGCTCTATTATTTTCACGAATTCCCGTTCACTAAACGAACACAAAATCATTTATCTTCTGTTCCTGTTTCTTAATGAGTTTGATCAATAAATGGTTAACAAATCCGAAAATTCACTATTGTTTTTACTTTGTGCACGGTGTAGTCGATTAGACTACATGATCTTTGGAATAATTAAAAAAAAAAAGAAAATTGCTTAAGTTACATAAAAATGGAAAGATTATTAGTTAGTAAACACCTTTGTGTAAACAGAATCTATTAGGAAATAGCCTCAAATGAATTTGAAATTGTGATGTGAAAAAAAATCCTTACCCTATCAAATAAATATGTAGAAGACTTCAATCTCCAGGCCCTGAATTACCGTTTTTAGTATTATCATCGACTGAGTTATCATAGTAGACAAGTTCGACCACCATCTCAGAATAGCAGCTACAATAAAATTACCTTGGTCACTAATAAAATCATTTGTTATCAATTAGTGAATTAATTTATTAACATTTTCAATTATTAACTTCCTCTTAATTGTTAATTAACAGTTAAATTTTTCTTTATGTTCATTAATCTGATAAACAGATTGAAACAATTTCTCCTTAATTGTTGTCTCTTTATATTTTTCGCATTCATTTATAAAAAGTATTTCTCTAGTGGAAGACCATAAATAATCCCTGTTCTCTCTAATATTACCTCTGATTTTATTATCAATATCTTCTTCTTTAGTAATTTTATTTTAAGAATTACTAGTACTATATATTAGACCAGCATTGGAAACCTGGAAGCATTAGACGGTCGTTTCTGTTATATCTGGTCGTCGTTGATTGCTGTGCCGGAACAACGCTGATCACTTATACTCGGAACGAGGGACCTCGGCAATTCCCACGATGTGAAAGTAGGAACACAAGACTGATATAAGCGAAGATACATCAGCCCAAACACTATGACGACGATGAACCAAAAATAGTCTAAAATACACTGGTTTATCTATTGATTGTATACCCATTTTTATTAATAATTAGGATTAAATCACATACTCAGTTATAACAAATCACACACTGAGCATAGTTCATGTCAAGTGAATACAAGAATATCGTTTATTATACAGAAGAAAATATTATACTGAGAAAACAAATCAAATACTACACTGAATGATCATCACATTGAATTAGAAGGGAAGTAATGTTGAACAAAACTCATAATGAGTAAATCGATCGAAAATTGGCTTTTCTTTCCATCATATCAAGCAATAATTAATCTATTGGGTATAACTCGTGTCCTAATAGTTTCGTCCTATCGTGAAACTCCGAAGCAGTGCATCTAAGGTCCCGCTCGCAGGAATCAAATCCAGGGCCTTCAGTCACGCGCGCGAACACTTGACCTCCAGATCACGGAGCCGGCACTCAGCGGTGGTAATTGTTATGATTTTATATCCGGCTTCTTATCACGTGATTTATCCACCAACCAAAATACGACTTATACAATCTTAGCACTGTACCAAACCAATGACATTCGACCGGTATGAGCAGCCTAGCGTCCTACTTGGTCTTATGTCCGCCTAGCCCTTCCGCTTCAGTCCAGAACACCAATACCAGCTCCCACTATGCGAATCGAATCATTTATTTCAGACACACTGGGTTTATATATCAGTCAAACAGACCGCAACGCACCAT